ACGCTTGGCGAAGGTCGAGGCTGCAGAAGTAAGGATATCTGCGGAGCAGAGATAGAGACTGCACAACCCCTTGATCACTGCCAACTGGTAAGGAAGACTGCACAAGAGTAGCCAACGGAGCCCCGTTGAAAACTGGGCGCACTTTCATAGAGCTACGAGAGGGCTCCAGACCTTGACCAGTGCTTGATTTCACCACCGGAAAATGAGACATCCAGTACCGTACCTCACCGATAGTAGTAGGCCGTATGTAACCATTCTTCAGAAAATTTTGAATTTCATTGTCGTAGACCTCGTACAAATTCTGAGCCTGTAAGCGTGCTGCCAAAGAGCGTGCTTTGGCCAGGAAGGGTCGGAAGTCGTTTGAAGGTCGACGGCCGATCCACCGGATAAGATGACCGAATCGGGAAGGACACGAGAGATTCAGAGGGCCCTCCGATGTAACCGCAGATGTGATCTCAGATGGTGGATCTGCGACGACTAATGGTCGGGCATCCGAGAATGCGATCTCGAGGAACTCCTTAGAACAATCGGGAGCACCATCATCGAGCCCGACAGAGAGAGTGGACAAGTCCTTCGAGAGAGTAGAGTCCGTGGTTGCAGCACTGTCAGGTATACCCACAGACTGTCCAGCCGCCTCATTCAGGGACTGTAGGAACCCTCGCCAAGCGGCTTGAACAGCAGTAGGCTTGCCAACGAGACTGAGTAAGCGGTCCCCGGCTGAGTCGAATATCCAGACTGTAGGTAGAGAGTACGATCTAAAAACCGAGGTACTCCAGAGGAAATCCCTGTTCAAGTTGGGGATTAAGACGATCTCAGTTGGGAACTCCAAGTGCTTATGCACATGTTTCAGACGGAAGATTGAACAACCCAGGACTTTTGACCCTGCGGCTAAGGTAGCACAACACTGCCGACCAGTATTCTCGATGCTTACCCCGGCCCTCGTGAGGCGGTTAAACCCTTGAGGAGAGCAGGCGTGCATCATTGCCCCCGAGTCCAGAAGACCAATGAATGCGGCTGTAGCACCATCAGTAGTCTTGAAGCTTAAGTCGATATATCTCAGAGACTGATCAGGCGTAAGTGTGGAGTTGGCCGCAGCGATCTCGACAGCGTCAGGCGTTATCTCCCTTACAGTCATAGCCTCCATCGAAAGTGCTGATGAGGATTCGGCCGTGGGAGTGGCTTGGTGATCTAGAGGCATGCGACAATGCGAAGTATGGTGACGTTGACGACATCGGTGGCAACATACGGAGTCTCTCCATGGACACGATTTAGGTTCTGGACAGCGTAGTTTCGTTCTGTTGCAGAAGTGGCATCGCTCAGATTTGTCGACCGGCGCTGGAGCAGGGCAGAACTTCGCAATTCCCCGGCATTGAGGCTCCCGATCAAGGCATCTCGTGCACCGGATGCGCTCTCGTTTATTTGCTCCTCGGCGGCGATGTCCGAAGTCTCGAGAATTGGGTGCTGATGAAGAAGTGGCCGTCCCAGGATTCTCCCTGGCCTGTGTGCAGGCAATCTCTTCCACGTGGGTCGAGAGTGACGACCTGCTGGGAATCTGGGATACCGGCCCTGCAGACGATGGCTCCTTGGGGTTACGAAGAGCTTCTTCAGACATCAGCTCTTTAACCATAACATCAAAGGAGCAGTCAGGAGTGGACCGACGAATGCCTAGAACACCTTCTTTATGAGGATGACACAGGGCCGTCACGAGGAGGTCGGAGGCATACTGATCCAATAGCTTACCGTTAGTGCGCTCGTAATCGAGCAGTCGCTGCTGGAAAAGGTCCAGAAAGGCAGACAGAGATGTGCCTTGACGCATTCGGAGACTGACCATGTTTTGCCAAGTTACAATGCTATCCGTAGGGCGAGCATAGGCGTCGTAGAGAGCAGCCACCAAGCGCCGCACTTCCTGCTCAGCGGCTCCATGACTGCGAGAGCCCGTTGGAAGAACCTTTTCCGAAACACTCTCCGATAGGTGTGATACCAACCAGTGATACAGTTCTACAGCGTACCAGGCATATTTCACCGACAGTAGATTGGCCTGCTGAATGAGCGAGGAGACGTTGCGCTTATCACCGCTACCAACAAATTTCGGATAATCAGATAACACCCTAGCGGCCGCTTGATAGGCCTTACGCTCAGTGGCGGTGAAGGGCTTATTTTTGTCCTCAGAGGGGGCCTCGAAGAACTTCGGAAGGAGTCTTGAGCTGGGTGTGGTAACGGTAGACGGCGGAACCAAGGGAGACGGACTCGCTGAATTGACGCGAATGTCCCGCCAAGGGGACTGAGGAGTAGCCTCTCGATGGCTGGGTGCGTTCAAGGAGGCGTACCCGGAGCCATGCGCAGGAGTGGTAGGCGTGGTTGAGGAAGGAACCACAGGATCGTCGGAGAAAGAATACCCTACGGGCCGGTGCCACTGGGAGACGCCAGTCACAGTATTGTAGTAATAAGCCTGTGTCGACGAAGTTGCCGGGGCTCGGAGCCAACCGTCATTGATGGGTGGTGGAGAAGCCGGAGGAGGTATTGTCGGCGCAGACAGCTGGGATGAAACCTGCTCTGGAAGTTGTGGTATCGTTATCTGGACGTCAGACGAAATCATGCCATAACTTAGGGGGATCCCACCAGGAGCGGTGGCCAGGGAGATCTTCCAGCCATGTGTTTGAGCCGAGCTTATCCACAGGCCGTGGTAAAGACGGGCAGGGTCAGAGGCAGACGACCCCGGAATCGACAGAGTTTCTCCAAGGTACGGTAGATCAGCGAGCTGGGGGTGCTCGCGCACGTGGCACTCCTCGATTAGACAGAAGGCCATACCAGAGCGTTCATCACGGTGAACGTAGTGAACTTCATAGTAGTTCTCGAGGAGCTTGACAAAGCGGGTAGGATAGGTGTAGGACATGGTTGATCCCGGTAAAAGATGTGATGACTTAATAACTCGATAGTCGACGCAATCGGAGGATCAATCCGAGAGGGACAACAGTAAAAAGAATAATGGGTAGCAAAGGAGACGGGGCTTACTACCATTCGCGTCTCGTCTCAAGGGCGAGCTAAGAGTCACGTCGAATGTGCGAGTGCCCGTGACATAATGGAGTGTCCAGTGCCGTAATTAGGACGGCACACGACCATTCGTACCATGTACAAATACCGTAGCAATGCTTTGAGTGGAAACCGCATTTTCTGATGCATACGGTCCCAAGGGAGACTCTCTCAACTGATTAAACCTCGAGAATAGTACTAGCGCAAGAAAATTACTTATTTGCAGCAGCAAACGTGGACATCGAATTGAGTGTCCTACCGCGAAGACTACGGAGTGATCCTACACGGATCTGAATGAGATTTTCTGGCCTGAGCCGAAATGTATGACGCTTGAGCGAGTTTCCACCAAGAATTTGGCAAGAACCAAATCCTCCCGAGCTTACAAGCTCATTAGTTCCAGCGCCCGCAGCCAGATCGGTTCAATATAGGACCAAAACTACTCAAGATGAACACTATGGCTGACCTCGTTTCAAAATCGATCACGATGGCGAGCGGAAACTCAATCCTAGCAAGGTTGAAGAACGGGTCCACCGACTGATTAGCATCATTGGTATTCGTTAATGAGGATAACATGACAGTTGAGTGTAGATCTCCGTTATGGAGGAAGCTTCACTTCTAGAGCAGCTGAGTGATGATCAGAAGAATCGGCTGGAGGATCTCCAATGCGAACCAACTGACTGGGAGGAGAGTCTCTCTGACGCCGATCTCGATGAGTTCGATGACGAACAGGTGGGCTCATCCGAGAAACCATTCGAGAATCGTTTCCTCTGTCTTGAGGAGACCTTCCAAAAGGTGGCTCAGAACGAGACTAAGCTCCCGGACTTGCCAGATGAGAAGCCCTGAGGACGCTCGCTGACCCTGCTACTTTGGTTACCACTCTCCTTTGCTTTGGTCGTTTTACGCTCTATACACAGGTTAAAGGTCTGTCTCTACTATGCCCAGATGGCAAACAAATGTTCACTCTTGGTCGTTTTATATCCCGTTGGGATTTGCCTCGGACCGAGGCCCTCGGTTGACAAAGCCTGACGAATGGACTGAAGGAAAATGGTTGAAGATCAGATCTTGCTCTTCCTTGGCTCACCTGCTGGCTCCCATGACCCTTATGCTCCTTGCTTATGTTGCTCCCCCTAACATAGGTCTGGTTGTTCAAGAACATTGTATAAACAACAGAAAAGCACTTACGGCCTGGACGAACATCCCCATCTCGGACGACAAAGGTACCCCGAATGATCAAGAGAGAACTGCAAAAGCTCTCAGGTCTTGGTTGGAGTCTTGCTTCGAGGTTCTGGAAGCTGTGCGGACTGAGATCTCTGTTCCATTCAGGGATATTCATCCCGCAACGACATTGCGCAAGTGGTGCACGGTACTGCCCAAGACTGGTCAAACGTGGAGTGAGTTCCTCTCGCATGAGCAAGTCCTTCATTCACAGCTTGAACCTGCGATAGCATGGACAGTCAGGAGGGACAAACTGATAAAGTGGTTCACCGATTGTTATGCCTACTTCAGAGAGAGTGAACTTCGCCCAGTGAAGTGACTCGTGAACAACATCTCCCCAAGCTCCGATCCTCCCGCGAGTTGAAAACCTTCCGAGACAAACTGAGATCCATAGCCGAGTGCCATGCTCCACTCACTGTGGACGATGTTTTGGGAGCTGCGTGGAACCTCTATGAAGCAGGAGACCTAATGCGAGCAAACTAAAGGGTCGCGAGGAGACGTCTACTCCTAAGCCTACCTCTGGTTCTGTTGTTGACAAGAACGCTCCCAGCCAAAAACAGGACAGGGATGCCAAAGCAAAAGACCAGTCCATCAAGCCCAAGTCCAAAGGCTATCATTACTATGGTGACCTCAAGCAGTGGAGCGTTTCTTTTTCCTTCCGGAAATGCCCTCCCCCCCCTCCACGCGGGAACGCTGGTGCCCTGCTCCCTCAGCACAGGAGATGCAGGAACAAATACAAGGGAGGAAACGCAGACCTACTCGTCGCGGCACAGCTTCTGCGGCAGCGATAGCAAGAAGACGTTACCGCAGGTCTGAGAGAAGGAGAATTCACCGGCAACAGACCCGAGCCTGGAGGAAAATTTTTCCTTCCCCTTGTTTTGACCAAGGGTTTTGTTGTTCTCTATCTCGCGATCAGCGCCGTACCCTTAACTGGTGTGTGTGGACAATTTTGAGTGGCGTTCGCATAGCGAAATTAGTAGGACTCTTTTTCTGGGCGAAAGTGAACACTGGCTGTGCTGCATCCTTTTGCATCGGGTGCTGGTTATGGGCGAGAGTGGGACAGCCTCGGCCCTCGTGACGAAGATAAAGAGTTTACCGGCTGTAAGAGGCATGAGATCCTACATAACGAGGCTCTCAGAAGCTGTTGGTATGCTTCAGGCAGTAGAGAGGGACTGTTGCATGTGTGCCCTATCTTCCACATGCCTTCGAACGATTAAATCTGCAATGAAATGTAAGGTTTTCCCTTTTCCGGTTATTCACTCCGTCTTGTGGAGAATCATACGAGTCGCTGACTGTGCTAACCTACTCTATGATAAAACTCTGACAAAGCGATCCTGTCACCCCTCACCTGACTGTTCGAAGGTGCGTTTTCTCTCCTGGAACACTGGTGGGCTCACAGTTGACGCCGTTCGTCTTATTGCGGAAGGCCTTGACGGCAGTAGGTTTGATTGTGCAATCCTTCAAGAGACTCAAGGCGCCTCCCACCGTTTCAAGGATCTCTATGATAATGTCTCCTTCTTCACAGTGAATCCAGTCAAGAGGAAGGGTGGAGTGGGCATTGCGGTGCGGAAAGGAACAGCGGTCCGAACAGTGCAAGAATGGAGTGAACGGGACTGGGCTGTTGGGATCTACGAAACATGTGGTGTTGTGGTATGCTCTGCATATGCATGTCCCCTCAGCACACAAAGTCCTCGACACTACGAGCGTTTAGATGCTATTTTTCTGGCTCTCTCATCAGTAGTGGGAAGTAATAAGCCAGTCATAGTTGGTTCTGATCTTAATGTAGACATCTCTCGCGATGTTGGTGGTTGTTTGAGTGGCAGTGCAGAGTCTCTCCACGGTTTTATCACTGGTGACGGGCCCTTCAGACGCCTTTGTGATGATTCGCCTACTCGATCTCGGTCAGGTCGTAAGATCGACTATGTTCTTACTCTTGAGTCATTAACTCATCTCTTCCCCAATCGGTTTCATACCCTCGACCCCCAAGGATGTTCTGATCATGATCCTCTCCTAGGTTCTGTAAACCTCACAACACCTGGCTCAAAGTCACGGCCTAGGCTACCCTACTCGGTCTCTCAACTGCAATCGTCGCCTGAGAAGGCAGGTTCTTTCTGTGCTACACTCATTCGTCGACTTGATACCGCTGATGAGCACCCGACCTTAGTCTCCTTGTGTTCCCTATTACGTGCTACTGCCTCTGAAGTTGCCCCTATCTGCCCAGGCAAAGGAAATATGGTACTGAATAAGTGCCGTCGCCAGATTCAGTATGTCAGCCGGTGGCCCCGATGTCTTATCCGTGGCTTGGTTTTGGGATCAGTTGCCAGTGCTGCCCGTACTGAATGCAATCGTCTTCGGCGTGAACGTTTAGTTAAACTCACCGCTGATACTGATGGATGTTGGAAAGCAGCCAAGATGTGTCGCCGGAATAAGGGAGGCGTATCGTTAGACCCCGACCAGTGCGCTGAGGATTGGAAGGCTATTTGGCAGTCCAAGTTTCCGCCCATCCCATCTTCGGAGTGGATCATGCCTTCTAAAGCAATTGGTGAGGTCGATCGAGACTTTACTATAAATGAAGTTAGGTCTTGTCTGCAGCGGGCCCCCACTAGCAAAGCAGCTGGTCCGGATCTAGTCCATGGATCACTTCTGCGTTTGGCTTCCTGTAATGACCTCGTCTGCAAGATCGTTGCATCTCATCTGAATGGTGTTTTAAACGGTAGCTTGAGCCTAGATGAACTCTTGTCGGCTACATGCGTTCTTCTTCCTAAGAAATCTAAACCTAGTAGAGGTTCAGACTGTCGGCCGATTAGTCTCTTGCCGATGATGCTCAAATGCCTTGAACAATGTGTCCTGAGTAGAATCTCTTCCATTATTAATGAGGTTTTTTCTTGGGAGCAGGCTGCTTTCAGAACGCGTCGCTCTTGTATCACTCAGGCTTTTGTTCTTAAAGCCTTACAAGCTGATGCAAAGCGTACACGCGCAGTTTTGCTTGCTTGTTTCTTGGATTTGAGAAAAGCGTATGATTCTGCGGAGCCTACGGTTCTGTTACCCTTGATTCGCAACCTTTCTGAGATTGGTAGACTACGCTCTTTTCTTTCGGCTATGATGAGACCCCGTAAAGTCCGTATTGCTACTAGCTGTGGCATCTCGGAACCATTCATTGTTAGTCGTTCAGTCCCGCAAGGAAGTGTCCTTGCGTGCTCCATTTTCAATCTCTCTATGGAGGTCTGCAACACCAAACTTGCGATTGGATCACCTACTCTTGCTCCTAAAGTTTCCCTCCCAAATGGGGATCTGAAAGTGATCAACCACCTTTTGTTTGCAGATGACCAAACTGTTCTCGTACAGGGACGAGGTTTGCCCAAGTGTGTCGGAGAGCTAAATGCTCGTCTTGAGAATGCTGCTACCTGGGCTGTTGAGACGAAAAACGAATACGCCCCTGAAAAAAGTCTCGTAGTTCCCCTTGGTACTCGCTTACGTCAAACGAGTAATTTCGCCTTCAATTTGAATGGGCAAGATATTTCTGTTGCCTTCGATTTTCTATATCTTGGTGTTCCTGTTACGAGCTCCAAAAGGAATCTGTGGGTACCCTTACATCGTAAATCGCGTGCTATCGCAGCCATCTCTAGTGCTTTATCGGTCTACCGTACTATGGCTCCTCTGTTCATCATCAGACTTGTGGTTGCAGTTGGATGGAGTGCTTTACTTTACGGCCATGACCTAGCCTTTCCTAAGCCCCAGTCCCTGGATATCTGTTGTAATACACTTGTGAAGATTGGTCTAGGCTTACCAGGATGGACGCCAACTGCCTTTCTCTACGTTGCTCTGCAAGTCCCGGTTGCTAGTGCGTTACATCTTAAGCGCGCTCTGATTTGCTGGAACACTATATACAATTGTGATCATATTCACAAGTCCCTGATTGTCATGGTTATGAGTGACCCCGTGAATGAGATGTGGCGCGGTTTTGTGGCTTTTGCTGGCTCTATCGGTGTTTCTTGTAGTCTTATGGTGGACTGTATTACCTCCCATCCTGCTATTGCCAAACATAAAGCATATGATATCTTCCTACTCGCTTCTGCTAAGGTAACTACTGATGCTTTGGGACGTGCCCTTCGTTGCTTGTATATTGGCATCGATTATGTTGAATGTTGCGGTACTTTGATCCCACTCCCTCTCCCCAGTTCTGTGATGTCTCATCAAGAGGGTCGCGCTGCCATTAGAGCCCTTATTCCGCTTTCGTTCAAGCGTTGCCATTGTTGCTCTCTCTGCGGTAGATCTACTGATTCTGTAGACCATCTACTACTTTCCTGCCCAGCAGGCCCTAACATGTCAACCCAGCAGGTCTATGATGCCTTCACTTCTCCGAGAGCGTCCTCTCTACTCTCAACTATTGCTAGCGTTCTGCTTAAACGTAACTCTGCTGTCAGTAAGCTGCTTCGTGATAAGGAGGTCTCGTATACGATTGTTACTGATGAGTGATACGCTCAGATGTAGCATGTAACTCGTTAATTAACAGTTTGAATTGAATTGAATTGAATTGAATTGACCTCAAGCAGTGGGAGAGAGACTGTCCACTATTGAAGTCCAAGCCCGTGGAGGTCAAGACCGAGTCTCCGATATCTGAGAGCAAAGTTGATGACGCTAAGCGAACCCGTAATGGACAAACCTACATATTGGGTGGTGGTAATGGTCTGACTTGTGGTGATGTGAAAGTACTCCTCGGGGGGAGCTCTAGTTCAGAGAGAAAAACCCTGAAAGCGGGTCTCGATACATGCTCCAGTATCAATCTGGTGTCTTTCTCTGTTCTACCGAATTTCCGCTTCAAGCTTATCGACCTTCACGATGGCTTCTCTGTTGACTCCGTCGGCAGCCAAGTAACCTTGAAGGGCATGGCAGAAATTCGACTCCTGGCACAAGAAAACGTGATTAAGGCTAACTTCTACATCGTTGATGCGCACCTCCTACCGGTCAACTTCGATCTCCTCATCGGCCAGAAAACTCTTCATGATCTTGGGTATCGCCTCGTGAATGTTGATGAGAACAAGGACGACTCGGACCAAACATGGGTGGACTATCTTGCTCACCAAGGAGAACTACTTGCAGCCCATGAGGACCTTGAAGGAATCATCAGGTCTGAGCCTACCACCGGTCCCACAGCAGAATCCTTGAAAAAACTAGCTTGAAAAATACCCCAGTGGTCAAGCCACAGGATTCCATGGAGACGATGGTGGCAAGAGGCGTGGCCTTCATGTTGGACGAGCTCGAAACGTGGCGGCCAGTTCGGGGGAACTGTCGTTATCGGTGCAGGGCACGTGCCCTCTTGCCTGACTGTATCTGGAGCTTCCAGGGCCGCCTTATGTGAGAGGCACCACATGGCCTTCGCTGATTCTGATGGGTTGGAGTCGTAGGTATAAGTGCTCGAAAGAAAGTTTGTGGTTTTCGGACTGGAGGCCTCACCCGAATCAGTTGTTGGCTGAGAAGGAGCTTGAGAGTATCAGGAAGGACTACAAGCAGTATATAGCGCAATACGAAGCTGGCGGTCGCGACTTTGCGAGTCAACAACGTGCGGCTGCGGTTGCGGACAGGAAGGCTATTCCGAACGACTTCCGGTGGGAGTTGCAGTGGGAGTGATAGGGATTGTAGTTGCTTTATCTAGGTCTATGGTCAAGGATCTCAAAGAGTTCCGGGCTGAGATGCGCAAATCATTGGCCCGTGAGGACTGGGAAGAGGTAGGTTCATCTTACCTCTCAGTGGGTTGTATATAGTTGTGTAGGGCTTCAAGCGCTTGGCGCCTTCGAGGGAAATTGTCACATTCACTGAGACCAGAGATATCGAACAAGGCAAGCCGGTAGTACCATGCTGTATACGAGTATGGTTTCCATCTCATGGCTCTTTCAGAAGGAGGAGTTGTATTCCTTCTAGAGGATGTATGCTGCTCTCTAGCTCAAGCCAATTTATACGTAATCCCTTACCTGTGTCACTACTTCATCCTAATGCCATTGTTGCGAAATTTCTCGGTCACGCTTCAACACTTGTTTCTGGGGACTTGGGTTAGTTGTATGAGACAGGAAGCACGCATGTCACAACGAAAAGGGAGCAGCTGTCGGCGACAGTGCTGGAGCTTCCTTGTGGTGGCCATTATACTGTGGCCGTGCATTGTTCGATGAGGAATATTGCAGAGTCTCCATCAAATGAAGATGGAAAACTACTACTAGTTAGAGGGAACTAATGCTCTTGAAAGCGTGGAATTGAATCAATTTGAGTAATAAGAGTTTACATCACTAATGGAATAGGAGTTAATACTTTACTCGTTTGGGGACTACACCACATCTACTTTTCAAATTTTCATCAAGTGCTAATGTAGATTATGCAGAGGCGTTCGTTCTCATGTTAAGACCTTCATCCCGTACCGATCTGTC